CTTTCCGGGCGAGGCACATCAGTCGCCGGCTTCTGGACGGCTGCTCACAATGGCTGCTGGCCATTCACGCTGGCTGCTGGCTACACACGGTAGCCCATGGCAATCCACCTGCCGTTGCCGGTGACTCATGGCAGCCCAGTTCCAGGTCGATCTGTTGTTCACCATCTTAGCTGTAGATGGCACAGCGTCACTGGCCCTCATGTGGGATCCGAACTGTGGCCCTGCTGCTCAGAGCTGGCATCCCAAGCCAACTCTTAACCAATGCGCCACTTGGCCGGCCCTGCAGTTACTTGAAAACAGTTTGATTCTTTCAGATTTTTCTTTGAAAATTTTTTAGTTAGGACTAGAGCAGTGCTCACTCTAAGGTTATTATTCCCCACTACTGAGGCAAGACCGGTTTGTATACTGTACCTAATGTCCTGTGAATTATGAGGTTTTTCCAGTCTGGCTGGTGGCAACAGATTCTGTCCCTGGCCTGTGTGAATGCTGGGACTCTTCCAGCCCTTCCATATGATGCCCACCCCCATCTACCTCCCCGTTTAGTTTCCTGAGACTCTTGTGCTGACTAGTCCTCAGCTGAGTGCTTGAGGGGGACCCTCTGCAGATCTCTGGAGCTCTTTCTGTGTAGCTTTTTCCTTCCTGGTACTGTCTCATTTCCTACCAATTTTTAGCTATGTTGGTCTCTGGACTCAGCTCCTTCTCAGCTCGGGGCATCTGCCAGTCGCTGCTTGGGTTCTGCCCCCTGCTTCATGACTTGGATTCTCTGTTAAGACAGGAAGCCGGGCAGTCATAGCACCCGCCTCACCTGTTTCCCATCTTTCAGGAATCACTGCCTTTTGTTGTCTGATGTCCATTGTCTTGAAATTTGCTGTTTCATATATTTTGTCTGCTTTTTAGTTTCAGCCAGGAGGGTAAATATAGCCCTTGTTACTCCACCTTTGTTGGAAGCAGAAGTGTCACTAGTTTAATTTTGAATTAACAGAATTATGCATTTTAAACAAATTTATACAGAGTAGTACATGAATGTCAAGGGACTTTTCAACTATTTTCCAGTGTATTATGCTGACTGAAAATTGTTGATAGTAACAAATAGAAAAACATTTGGAAAAAGGACAAAAATTAGGAATGCTATAATATATAATGCAGTTTAGTTTGCATTATTCAAATGTGGTTAAGCTATAACTTTTTTTTTTTTTAAAGATTGTATTGAGGATTGGGGGAGGGGAACAGCACTGGGGAATTGGGGGAAGGGGAACAGACAAGTTGCTGTTGTTTTGTTCTTCAGTCTAGTTGTGGAGGACGTTGCTTCACTGGCCCAAGCTGGCACCATCATTGCTCTCTTCCCGGGTGAGGCAGATCAGTCGCTGGCCTCTGGACGCCGCTCACTGCGGCTTCTGGCCGCTCATGCTGGCTGCCGGCTACACATGATAGCTTATGGCAGCCCACTGCAGCAGGGACTGCAGCCTACGCCGTCACCGGTGACCCACAGCAGCCCAGCTCCAGGTTGAGCTGTTGTTCAGCATCTTAGCTGTAGAGGGCAGTGTCACTGGCCCTCATATGTGGGATCCGAACCGGGGCCCTCTGGCATCCCAAGCCAGTTCTTAACCAACGCTCCACTCCGGCCAGCCCCCCAAGTCAGCTCTTAACCAACGCTCCACTCAGCCAGCCCAAGCTATAACTTTTTGGATTGTCCATGGCAAATACATAATCCTTCCACCATTAAAAAAATTTTTTTTTAAGATTAAAACTTTTTTTTTTTTAAGGACAGTTTTAGGTTCACAGCAAAATTGAGCAGGGCACAGAGAGTTCCTATATATTCCTTTTCCCCAGACATGCACAGCGTCCCCACTCTGGGCATCCCACCCCACAGTGGGACATTGACATTGGTCTAGTCCATGAGCCCACACTGACACAGCGGCATCCCTGGCCCATGGTTCACTCCTGGTGTTGCACTTTTTCCAGAACATCATGTAGTTGGGATAGCACAGTATTTAGCATTTTCAGATAGGCTTCTTTCTCTTAGTAATATGCACTTAGATGTTCTTTATGTCTCTTCATGGCTTGATAGCTCATATCTTTTGAGCACTGACTATTATTCCATTGTCTGGATGTACCACAGTTTATTCATCCACCTACTGGAGGATGTCTTGGTTGCTTCTAAGTTTTGGCAATTATGAATAAAGGTGCTATAAACATCCATGTGCAGGTTTTTGTGTGGATCTTCCACCATCTTTTTTTTAAAGATTTTTATTGGGGAATTGGGGAGGGGAACAGTGTTTTCCAGGATCCATCAGCTCCAAGTCAGTTTGTTGTCCTTCAATCCTAGTTGCGGGAGGGGGGGGTGTGTGCAGCCCACCATCCCATGTGGGAGTCGAACTGGTGACCCTGCTGCTCAGTGCTTGCGCTCCCCACCAACTGAGCCACTTGGCTGCCCCCCATCTTTAATGTATAGTCAGGAAATGAGGAGAGTGAATAAAAAAAACTGAGGTCATTTTTAGTTTGTCAAAAGTCAGGTTTTAAAAGAAGCTCATATTGTAGGAAATAATGGCATTAGATTTGTTAAGTTTGACATTAAAAAGCTAGAAATTTGGAATCTCATCTCTGAAAATGAGATTATTTTATTTTGGGATATTTCTGGCCCTCCTTTCTCAGCTCTAAAATTATAGGTTAATATCCTTTTTAAATTAGTAATCTTCATGTATTTAATGCATTTATAGGAATTGCATTAGGAATTAATTTTGAGTTTGAAAATTTTTTTTGCTACTACATACTGTTAAAAAAATATGGGCTCTGGAGCTAAATGGACTGTGTTCAGGTCTTGTTTTACCACTTACTGTGATGTTGAGCAAGGAACTCAACCTCTCTAAGCTTTTGTTTCCTCAGCTAAACTATGGGAATATACATAGTGCCTGGCTTTTAGGATTGGGATGAAAATTAAATAAGAATGCATGTGAAGTACATGGTTTAGCACATAGCAAATGGTCAGTAATTGGCAGCCGTTGTGTCTGGTCTACAGTGCAGTCTGGAGTTCATGATATTTTCAGCTCCTTTGAATGCAATAAGTTATACTGTGTTCTTAATGGAAGAGTTTGAAATATTTAGTTAGAAAAATTAAGACTTTTTTATTCCCATGTGCAAAAAATGGCTTCTGCCGTGATTAATTTATTTTCACGTAAAGTCTGAAATTGATGATGACATTGGAGGTTAACGGAACAGAGTGGCAGTTGTTGAGAAACGTTTTTCATTTATGCTGTCACTTCCTAGGCTAACTTCTCTTACTACACTGCCTCCTGAAGAAATGTCATCCGCTCCCATGGATTCAGTTGACAAATGAATCTCATCCATCCACCTGCCTGCTTGACACATCCATTTGGGTGCATCTTAGGCACTTCAGGCTCAGTGTGCTCCAAACTGAATTCATGATTTTCCCTTTCAAATCATTATTTCTTCTAGCAGTGTTCACCATCTCAATACATGGCATAGCCATACATCCCCTTGTTTAAGCCCAAAATTTGAAAATCATCCTCAGTTCTTCCTTTTCCTTGGTCCTCTTCTGGCTAATTATTTCCCAGGTCCTGTTGGTTCTAGCTGCCAGGTATCTCTGAAATCTTTACATCTTTCTCATTCCCTTTTGTTGTCAGCGTCATCTCTCACCTGGCTAAGCACTCCAGCCCTCTCACTGGTTTCTTCACAGCTCTCCTTGCTTTCTTCCAGTTCTTTGTATACTACAGCCATAGTGACAGCGATGGCACCCCTCTGACTGAAAAATCGTTCTATGGCTTCACTTTGCCTTTAGGATAAGCTCTAAAAGCCTTCCCATGGTCTTCATGGCTCTGTGTGATTAGGTCCCTGCCAGTTTCTTTAGCTCTATCTGCATCCACCTTCATTTTCCATCTGTATCTTCCATATTGGTCTCATTTCATTTCCTCAAAATCTCCATTCTCTTTTTTGCCTCTTGCTGTCCACTCTGTTCCTATTGAATTCTCACTCATATTTCAGACTGTTTCTTCATCCTTACCTTTGTTGAAAAGCCTTCCCTGACCTCTTCTTTCCTCCTGCATCAGTTCTGCCTCGATGAGGTCCCTTACTCCCGTCTACTGCTCTGTGTTAATCATTCCCAACACTCATCTTGCTTATAATTATTCAACCAGTATCTCTTCCCCAAGATTACACACACATAAGATTAGGGATTGTGTTTGTCATGTTTGTTACTGTGTCCCTGGTGCCTGTCACAATGCTGGACTCAGGTGTGTGGTAAATATTTGTTGAATGAATGAATTTAGCCATTTAGGAAGTTTTTATTGCATCTGTCTTTACCTCTCATAATTATACTGTCATCTTTTTTTTTCTTAACTGCCCCATTCCTTACAGCAGTTACTTAAATTTTTTTTAGAAGAAATAATGCACTCATTTTAAAATTAAAGAAGAAAATAACTACTGTTTGCTTGCACTCTACCACGCATTGTGTTGGTTGCTTAAATTGTTTCATTTGGTATTCTTACTATTAATGTAGGGTAGTTATTCACATTTTACGACTGAGGAGACCATCTCTGGATGGATACTTGTCCAAGGTCAAGTGGCTGAAAAATGGCAGATAACTTGGATTCACACTGAGGTCTTTCTGCTCTAGAACCTGTATTCTTTTGCTGTAATTATAGCACTTTCTCCAATTTAAGGTCCACATTAAGTAGTTAATATACCCATTACAAAAAAATGGTTCAAAATGATGTTCACTGTAAGATTTTATGTTTAGGGTTTGAGATACTTTTTATTAATAATTATGAATAATACCTCATTGACTCTAGTGCTTTAACAGTGTTTGACTCATGTGGCACAGAGTACATGTTGTAATTATTGATAATAAAGGTGAAATTTGTACTAGAATAAATTTTAAATTCAGGGAAGAAATTGCATCACAGTGTCAAAAGAGTTAATTTTAAGAGCTATTGTTCTGTAGCATTAGACTCTAAAAAGTCATTGATTTTCTTCATCATTTTCAGGGACAATTTTTGCATATGGACAAACTGGTACAGGCAAAACGTTTACCATGGAAGGTGTTCGAGCTGTTCCTGAACTTAGAGGAATCATTCCAAATTCATTCGCTCACATATTTGGTCATATTGCAAAAGCAGAGGGTGATACAAGGTAAAAGAATTATTTTATTTTCTAATATTAAGAAGTTAAGAAAGACATATAGGTACAAATTTCATAAACATGATTTAAAACTGTTCTTATAAATATTTCATTTTTTTGTTTTTAAAAATGATATTTTATTTTTAGATTTTTGGTTCGAGTGTCCTATTTGGAAATATATAATGAAGAAGTTCGTGACCTTTTGGGCAAGGATCAGACACAGAGGTTAGAGGTAAGGGTAATTGAAATTGGAGTACTTTCAAAGCAATAGAATAAATTAAAGTCCTTTTTGTACAAAAGGTGCTTTTAATATTTTAGTTATTTATTAACCAGGAAATGTCATCACCTAGTTCAAAATAAAAATATTGTAAAAATTTATGCATGGAAAGTCTTGTTCCTACCCCATCAGCCCCATTTCTCCCCATGCTAAGATAATCACTTTCCGTATCCTTTCAGTGTTTCTTTATGTAAATACAAACACATAAAATTTTATTTTTACTCCAAAAATAGCATACTGTATATACAGAGGCTGCCAAAAAAATATATACACATTTTAAGAAAGGAAAAGCTATTAAAATTATAATACTCAATATATACCAATAACAAAAGATGAATACAAGTCACATTTGACTTCTGCAATTATAAGAGGTGCTCAAAGTGGTTACCTTCAGCATCCAGACACTTCTGATTACTGCAAACTACTTCTTGAGCAACATTGACCAAAGTGTCCACTTGTATACATTTTTTTCGAACCCCCAGTATTGATCTGTATGTGGGTTCACATGCAGTTGTAAGAATAATATAGAGAGTGTACCCTTTTCGCAGGTGTACCCTTTACACAGTTTCCAAGTGGTATTTATAAAGTTACAGTACAGTATCACAACCATGATACTGATATTGATACAATCTACAGATTTTATTCAGATACCCCCAGTTTTTCTTGTACTTTTTATATTCTATACTATTTTATCACGTGTAGATTGGTATATTCACTGCCACTTCAAGGTACTAAGCAATTCCATCACAAAGATGCCTTGTGTTGCCCTTTCATAACCACATCAACTCTCCCTCTGTCCCCATCCCTAACCCCTGACAACCCCAATCTGCTTTCCAATTCTAAAATTTTGTCATTTCAAAAATGTTTTATAAGTTTAACCATACAATATATAACCTTTTGGGGTTCATTTTGTTTCACTTGGCATAGCTCCCTGAAAATTCATCCAAGTTGTTGCATGTCTTGGTAGTTCATTTCTCTTTATTGCTGAGTGGATTGCATGGCATATATGTGTATCATAATTTGTTTAACCATTCACTTGCTGAAGGACATCTAGTCTAGGCTGTTTACAGTTTTTGGCCATTACGAATAAAGCAACTATGAACATTCACACATGGAATTTTTATGCAAATGTAAGTTTTTATTCTCTGGTGTGAATGCCCAAGAGTACTCCAGAATTCAAGTCAGAAAATTTTAAACTGTCAAAAATATAGGTATTAAGACTAATTATGAATATAGTCACTAATGTTAGTGTTTTCAATCTGTCTTTTAACCGAAGAAACTTTCTGATTAAGAAATTCTAGCTTGTACACTTTTGGGTACACTTTTGTTTGGCACCAAAGACTACTTTCATCATGCATCTTAGAAAAGGGAAATGTGAGATTCTATGCATAAATGTCAGATAATCACTGTGAATAAATTTGTGAATTGGTTCATTATGCTGTTAACTGACAAGTATAGCTGATTCACGTTCATTATTTCTTTTTAATTGAAATTACTTCACATAGCATAATATTCACTCTTTTAAAGTGTACAACTTAGTGGTTTTTAGTGTATTCACGGTTATGCAACCATCACTACTATCTAATTCTAGAACGTTTTATATTACTCCAAAAAGAAACCCCACACCCTTTAACCCCACCCCGTATTCTCCTCAGCTCTAGGCAATGACTGATCTCCTTTTTGTCCCTGTAGATTTGCCTATTTTGGCTATGTTTTATAAAGGAATAATACAATATGTAATCCTTTGTGACTAGCTTCTTACACTTAGCTTAATCTTTCATGGTTCATCCATGTTGTAGCAGTTATCAGTACTACATTTCTTTTTGTTGCTGAATAATAATCCATTGCATGGATATGCCACATTTTATTGATTCCTTCATCAGTTGAACATTTGGGTGGTTTCTATTTTTTGTCTATGATAAATAATGCTGTTATGAACATTCTTGTACAAGGTTTTGTGTGAGCATATATTTCCAGTTCTCATGATTATATACCTATGAGTGCAGTTGCTGGATTATGTGGTAACTCTATTTTTAACCATTTGAGGAACTGCCAGACTGTTTTCCACAGTGGCTGCACCATATTACATTTCCACAGGCAGTGCATAAGAGTTCTAATTTCTCCACATCCTCTCCAACACTTGTTGTTGTCTGTCTTTTATTATCACCATTGTAGTTGGTGTAAGGTGGTATCTCATCGTGGGCTTGATTTCCATTTCCCTGATGGCTAATGATGCTGAGCATCTTCTGTGCTTACTGGCCATTTGTTTACCTTCTTTGGAGAAATGTTTGTTCAGATCCTTTGCCCATTTTTAATTGTTTTTTTTTTGTTTTAATGTTATTGAGTTATAGTAGTTCATTATATGTGCTAGATATAAGTCCCTTATCGGATGTATAATTTGCAAAAATTTTCTCCCATCTATGGGCTATCTTTTTACTTTTTTTGGTATCATCTGTAGCACAAAAGTTTAAAATTTTGATCATGTCTGATTTCTCTATAAGTTTTGTTGCTAATGTTTTTGTTGTTATAACTAAGAAATCAGTGCTTCATCCAAGGTCATGAAGATTTATGCCTTTGTTTTTTTCTAAGAGTTCTGTAGTTTTAGCTCTTATATTTAGGTTGTTGATCCATTTTGAGTTAATTTTTGTATTTGTGACTGGTGTGAGGTAGAGGAGCAACTTGATTCTTTCGCATGAGGATATCCAGTTGTCTCGGCACCATTTATTGAAAAGACTAGTTTCCCCCATTGCATTTTGCTTTTTTCACTGAACAATGAATTGTGGCAGTATTTCTGTATCATTACAGAGAAAGCTTCTTCATTCTTTTTCTTTTGTCCGTTTTTAAATCTGCAAAATAACCTTCGTATGGACATAATTAAATTTTATTTAATAGCCAGCCCTCTGGTTGTTTCTGATCTTTTGCTGTTACAAACAATTCTGTAGTAAGTAGCCTTCTACAAATATCATTTCATGTGCAGGCATATCAGAGGATCATTCTTTTTTTTTTTTTTTTACATTTTATTGGGGAATTAGGGAAGGGGAACAGTGTTGGAGAATTGGGGAAGGGGAACAGACAAGTTGTTGTCCTTCAGTCTTAGTTGTGGAGGGAGCAGTTAGCTCAGCTCCAAGTCCAGTTGCCATTCGGCTGCCCCGTCAGCAGCTCATGGCTGCACAGCTCAAGGTGCTGTGTGCAATCTTAGTTGTGGGTGAGCATAGCCCACCATCCATGCGGGAGTCGAACCAGGAACCTTGTTGCTAAGAGCGCACACTCTAACCATTGAGTCATCTGGCTGCCCACTGGCAGCTCAGGGCAGCTCAGCTCAAGGTGCTGTGTTCAGTCTTAGTTGCAAGTGGGCGTAGCCCACCTTCCCATTTGGGAGTCGAACTGGCAACGTTGTTAGGAGCATGTGCTCCAACCAGCTGAGCCATCCTGCCACCTGTTGGCAGCTCAGCTCAGGCTCAGCTTACTGGCCCATGTCAGAATCGAACCAGCAACCCTGTTGCTTAGAGCTCACACTCTTGAGCAGCTCTTAACCAACTGAGCCACTTGGCCAGCCCCCTGAGGATCATTCTTGAAGCAGGACTGCTGAGTCAGTTTTTAAATAATGGTAAATATTGCCAGATATTTTAATATTTTAGGAAATGAGACAAAGAAATGATCAGTCTTTAAAACAATATTGGAATTTTGCTTAGAAATGCATTGTCAGTAAAATAATCAGAGAATAATGTATGAGATGTGATCAAACAATACGGTGAATGTTTAAATAAAAAAAGTTCATTATATTAAAAGACACGTTGCCATTAATCCCTCTCAAAAATAACCTCCCCCGCCCCCTTGCTTCAAACACACTTATCCCATTGTTCTGGCCACTTTCTGAAGCAGTTCTGGAAGTCCTCTTTCGTGAGTGTCTTTAGTAGCACTATTGTGGCTGCCTCGATGTCCTGAATCATTTTGACTTTGGGGAAGAGCCAGAAGTCACAAGGTGCCAGATCCAGTGAATAAGGTGAATGAGGACACGGTAATGTTTTTGCTTGACAGAAATTGCTGTATACTAGAAGCGATGTGTGACACGGAGCATTGTCATGGTGGAGGATGATTTATGGCACACTTTAAAACACACCCTCTCTCAACTGTAGTTCACACCCAACTGACTGCACCGAACAAAGTGACCTCACTGTTACTAAGGTTTGACAAACTGCTTTCCATGTTGAAGATCCCTGCCTTTCCATTGGATGGCAGTCAGCAGCAGCATTCACCGTATTTTCTGATCACAATGGAAAGGCTCCATTCCATGTTGCACATCACTTCTGGTACGGCAATTTCTGTTGAATAAAAACATGGTGTGCCCTCATCCACCTTATTCACTGGAATAAATCACCATGCTACTTCCGACTCTCCCCCAAAGTCAAAATGACCATGAAAAATTAATGTTTTGAATCGATTCAGGACATTGAGGCAGCTACAACAGAGCAACTAAAGACACTCACAAAAGAGGACTTCCAGAACTGCTTCAGAAAGTGACAAGAACAATTGAATAAGTGTGTTCAAAGCAAGGGAGCGGGAGTGGGGAGGGTTACTTTGAGAGGGATTAATAGCAATGTGTCTTTTACTGTAATACATTATTTTAAATTTTAATATTCACCGTAGTTTTTTATCACACCTCATATGTAGAGTCACAGTAGCTACTATTGTAGAATAGTGTGGAATATACATAGATTAACAGCAGCTGCTGTTACTAAACTCTTATGTGGTAGTAGGCATTCAGTACAGTAAACTGTGGTAGGAATATAGTACCCAGTTTCCCTGAAAATAAGACCTAACCAGAAAATAAGCCATAACGTGATTTTAGGTGCCAAAATATGGCACCTTGGCATACTGAATATTTTAAGCTGAAGGAGTTTGTGGAAAAGGCACCCTTTTACCTGAAACAGGTCATAAAACCCTCATGTGAGGGG